TTGATGATGTCATAATATATTCAAGGACATTTGACGAACATATTGATCATTCGAAAGAAATCTTACAATTATTAAATGAATCAAGGTTTAGACTAAATCCCGAAAAATGCGAATTCAAATTCAAATAAATCCGCAAATGGTGAATCGAAATTGTCATACCACACGCCGGCCGCTTTCGTCAATTTACCTCGTATTATTTCTAATTTCTGTCGATCATTTAAACTCTCATCTGTTTTGAAGATGTTTTTAATTGATTTCAGAAATTTTTCAGCATCCTCTGATGCTAGACTCGAAAAATTATCCAACTCATTATATCTATTCTTCCGTACGATACTTAAAAGAGAATTTGTATCGGAGGTCATTTTGATTTCTTCTACCGGTACTAATGTGGGAAATGATGTGAACCAGTTGACAGCTGGAGATGGACTAGACATTGGAGAATTATTTATGGACGGGGATGGAATTGGTGATGATGAGTTGCGGTGCGTCGTTGGTAATACATCAGTAGTGTATTGTTTATGTTTTCGTGAATTTATGATAGACTCTTCGGTATTTAATTGTAAATTATGCTCTTTAACGTTTCTTCTTGTTCCAGTCGCCGTCTTTGTTAATAAATGATCGAGTTATCGTAAAGATAGTTCCTTATTTTATTAGTTTAAAAGAACATTTTTAGTTTGAGTTATTTCAAAGGATAGCTCCGATATCAATGTTTAGATGTTTTACCGCATGGACTGTGCATTTATTATGTAAAGGGCTCTCCTTATATCAATATTCTACCTCGTCTAACTGTCTAACTAAAAGAAACAGTAATATCTGTTTTCACACTCTGTTACTGATATTTTCTTTATCGTTTTGTTTAGGTGAAGAAGTGGATGGATATATGTTGATAAAATTATCATACGACGAATTACGAGTGTTGCTTCCAAAATTAAAAGTTCGAATGAGATTTACTGAAGAACGCGATAAATTAATTAATAATTTGGGTGGCGATGGACGTGAAGAACAAGATAAAGAAGAACGTTCAGATTCATTTCATAATCAATCAGTTGATACGTATAATACACAACAAACAACAACGGGATATAATGGTCTGTTCGATGATATATCGATACCTATTAACAATACACTTCTGTTATAGGTATCCTAAAGCAAGTGATTATATTATTATTACACAAGCATTACTTAAAGCATGAAAGATTTCAATCACCAACGCAAATGCAATGGTAAGAACATACTTCTTTTTTAGCGGTGTATGACGCAATTTGTTTGTTTTAGAATGAATGGCGTGAAGCGATCAAACAAAAGTTCAAAAATGAACGTCGTCTTCTATAAGAAACATCAGCAACTGTCAAAATTAAGCAGGAAAATTTTGGGAAAGGGCACGGGCGTCCTCTGAAGAAAAGTAAAGCAGAATCGGCTGAACGTAAAATTGAAAAGCTTGTGAGATGACTACATTTTCGAAAATGTTAAAATACTATGTTTTTTCGTTCTAGATTTATGTCGATGATTTTAATAATGAACAAGATATCGAACATCAGATTACGACAATGAAAGTAGAAGTTGAAATTGCAACAACAAATATTGATTTATTGAACAGTTTGTGGAAGAAAACATTCAGTTATCGTCGATTATTCGTTCGACCACACACAACTGATGAATTAGTACAGAAATTTCCCGGTTACACATATCCTTGTCTGGTAAGTCTTTAGGAAAAAACAGTTCTTTATTCATGGTATTAGCACATTTCAAGTATAAATCGATGTTTTTCTCTTTATCTTAGATTTTCGAAGAAGTAAAAATGACCGATGACATTGATGTCGAACAAAATGTAAATGAAATATTGCCTTCTTTATTTGAGAAATTACCAAATAATATTTTGTTTCTTTCTGGTGCGTATATAAAGTTTAAAATTTCTCGACGCAATTTACTGTTTTTTCATGCTTTTCAGATTTTTTACCGATTCGTGTGATAAAATTTTTATGTAAACAATTCAATTAAGCGAAGTATCGGATGAAAAAATCCATTACAATACATTGTATAAGGAAAATAATAATGTCAATGCTGTCGCAGGATTTGTTGTTTCTGTGATAAGTTGCCAATCAGCAAATAATTCAAATTTTTCATCCGATACTTTGATACCAGTTGTGACTGGATCCTAAATAAAGCAAACACTGTACAAATACGTGATTTTGGCATTTGCAAAGCTGGTCAGGTATTGCATTCAAAGATGTGTCCCTACATTATCTAATAACATATGACTGCTCGCTTGATTGAATTGTTTACATAAAAACTTTATCACACGAATCGGTAACAAATCTGAAAAGCATGAAAAAACAGTAAATTGCGTCGAGAAATTTTAAACTTTATATACGTGTAACCGGGAAATTTCTGTACTAATTCATCAGTTGTGTGTGGTCGATTGGTCGAACATGCCATTAGTTTTGTCTAAAAGATAATATCTGATAGAGGGAAAGGCAAGATACGAGCGCATTCCCATGATCTACTGAACAAAATTCGTTTTGAAAAAAAAGCGTATTTTGTTTCCGTCTCACACTAAGCTCATTCGATGGGATTGACTGTTTTACACGTTATTCTGACTTCGAAAAGCTAATGCCTTCCCGGCTATAAATAATGTGTTTACATGACTAAAATATGGCACTCGAAGAGACCAAGGCGATTATTTCTAATTACGACTTGCTCGCAATCAACCAAAAACATAGACAGCTTTTCTGTTCTGTGATGTAATCTCTCTCTGAGAAACACGTGCTTTCTAGTCTCATTTCATCATCTCGATACTACACTGTAAGTTATGCCAATCGGTGATGCTTTTAAACATGTGCGAATGGTTAATACATGACTGCCTTATCTCTCAGTAAATCGCCTTTTCTTCGGTCAACTCCAAATAATTAAGTTTCTGACCTGATATTCTGGATCAGCACCAAAGCTTAGATCGAGTGATGCAGCTCCCGAAAAGATTCGAAGGAAAATACCTTTTAGTATTCCATAGTTATAGAGGCGGAAATTTTTCAGAAAAAATGAAAGTGACTTTTCGAGCGAATCCAATACGTAATTTTGGTCAAAAATCGATGCTGATTCGGACGATGTGTTTCCTTTTTCGATTCGTTAAGGGAAAATTTTGATCCTTATCCGCCCCTCTCCTTAACATCTTTAATTAATATTAATCAAGAACTACACGATCTGTCGTCTGGTTCATCTGAAAAATCGGAAGCAGCAACAAGTACTGAAGCAGTACAAGATCCATCCTCCTCCATCACCACAAATAATGAATCAACGTTATTAGAAGACATTATCAGTTTCGATCCAGTATTGACAACAGAACAACGAAGAAAACGAAGACTCGTATCGACACCCAAAGAACGACAATCGTCATTACGTTTAGCAGCTAAACGAAGTCGACAAGGACAATCTTCTTTGCGATTGTAAGCGATTTTTTTCTTTGATATTTTCTGGTTTTTCACTCTCATTGTTATGTACATTATTTTGTTTAATATTTTTATGTGATATGTCACATATTCATGAGGTAAATATTTTTGATTCTTCATTGTTTTCACTTGTTATTTTTTGCGAGCAGAAGAAGGTAGAATAAATAACAGAACATAATTAAAGCACCGTACAAAAAGAAACGCGGGATAGGGCAAAAAAGGGTTCGATATCGAACCATTTGAATTTGCGGCCACAGCCTTTTATCCTAAATCAACAAGAAAGGTGACGGAACCCTTTTTCGGCTTGAACCTTAAAAGGTTCTTTAAATGGTACCCAATTCTTGAACCTTAAGAGGTTCTATCTTTTTTTAGAGAGTACAACTCGTTAAAGAAAGGCCTAAAATAAAATTTGGTCAAAAATAATTACACATTTTTTACACAGACCGCTTTTTTCAGGGCATTTGCCGCGATGCTTGTATCTCCACGAAAACTCATCGGGACATTTTGTGTTTTAGTTACTCTAACGTATTTCCGATATCTTTCGAACTTTTTTGTTCAAATTCATGTTCATTTATTTTAGTCTGTCGTTCAATTTTAAATAATTGTGTATTCTTTTTTGGCCTTTGCAGTGATACTCAAACGGCACACTATCCATTAAAACTCACATATAAAACAGAGAAGGTATTTTTCACTAGGAACATGCTGTATGACTAGTGTCTTTCGATTGTGGCATGTATTGTCAACACATTTTTCTAAGTAATTTTCTGTTATCAATAGTTCTGTCTAAGAATGATTAATGAACAATTCAGCATACATGGTAAATGTCGTTTTTTCAGCTTATAAGAACATTTTTGTCTGGACAGTAATTGTTTTGATCCCGTAAAAAATGCAGAACGGGGCCCGTATACTAAAATTTCGATAAAAATAGTAGAAATGATTCCGGATTTAGAAAAAAATATTTTCGACAGAATTGATCCAGGAATAAACTAATTTTTATATTTATTGTGCAGAATTGATCCCGGAAAACTTTTTTCTTTCTGCGAACAAGAGAATTGATCCCGGTTGACGTGTGTAGTGGTCACATAAGATCCTCTTTCTCAAAGCTC